AAACAAACAAGGTTGCAAAATGAATACAACTACTCATACCATTGACCCACCTGTACTTTTCTTTTCAATTTTTTAAATTCACACACAAAATTAAAAATCTATAATTAATTCATTTTTATAATTTTTTATTATTTAAATTTAAAAATTTGGTATCTAATATAACTTTAATAGCATGGTTTTAGGTGAATAATAATTTTTATTATGTAGGGCTGAATAAATATATTTTTTTAATTATTAATTATTTAAACAAAATTATAATAAATTTATTGATTTTTGGCTTGATTTAATGTATAATTAATTGTTTAGGAATAAATGAATTTTGTTAATGGATGGGATAAAATTTATTATAAGTAATTATTGAATAACATGTTAAATGTATTAATGAAATAATATTTTATAGATACATTAAAAATTTTAAGATTTACTAAAATTAAAAACAAATTTAAATAATATTTTAAAGATTTAGTTAATAAAAAATTTAAAATTGAGTTTAATTTAATATGTCACATTTTTTTAATGTCTAAAATATATTGTTTGAATATTAAATTCTTTTAATTTCACGAATTAAACATGTATTCCTATTTTACTTTTTTTTTAATTATAAATTTCGTTATTTTAATAAATTTATTAGAGATTTAGTATAATATTTTAGGGGTTATTGAAATTTTTAATAAATTTATTAGAGACCAAATTTAAAATTTTGAAACTTATTAAATATTTAAAAAAAAAAAAAAAACTAAATAGACCTCGTGTCCATTTCAACTGAGGAGAGTAGGGATGTACATTTAATCTAACAACCAAAACTATAAGGATTGGGTTGGGTTGGATTAGCTTTTCGGGTTGGTTTGGGTTCATTTTTCTGAACCCGAACTGACTCGCGGTTTCGGGTTCGTAGGACAAAATCCTCTAGTTGACCCGGACAAAATAAAAATATATAAAATATACTAAGAAATTTATATTAATGATAGGTTCGTCATGGTACTTATCCTAACTCGTAGTGCTCATACTCGAGTGTGACCCCCAAAAGTTTTTTTTAAAAATAATTTTTTTCATCATTAATGTAAACTTCTTAGTATATTTTATATATTTTTATTTGACTCGAGTGAGAGTTTTGTCCCATGAACTCGAAACTGGACCAAGTCAGTTCGAGTTCAGAAAAATGAACCCAAACCAACCCAACTCTTATAGTTCGGGTTGAGTTGGTTCGAGTTGTCAGGTTGAATGTACACTCCTAATCGAGATCGAGACCAAGACAAAACCTGAACCTTTTTTGTTTAATAACGATAACAAAATAAACAAACTCGATAAAAATTACGAAACTAAAAACTAATAACAACTTAAAGTTGAGATCGAGACGAGACCCGAACCTTTTGCTTAATAATAATAATAATAATAATATATACAAATTACACCGCTTAGCCTCCTTTCATTAATGTACAAAAATCCAACAAAACAACCATGAAAACCCATATTCTGTAGCTCTAACCTTGCACATTCATCTTCTCTTCATTCATCTTCTCTTCATTCATCTCTAATGTTCTCTCCATTTCTATTCATATTTTCAAGAACTCAACATTTAATTTCTTCTTTCTCCAATGATTTGATTCTAATTCCAACGTTTTTAGTGTTTTTCTCCCCTTGTTTGGATTAAATTTTGAATGTTGTTGTAATTGATATCAATTTTCAACCAATTCAACACTTGGATAGTTGGTAAGGTAGTACTTGAATCCAGAAATATATTTAATAATCAAATGGAGGAAGCATAAGCGAAAGAGACAGCGATGGGGAGAGGAAGAATGGTGGGAACACTATGTTCATGCGCACTAACAATAAAGCTTTTCTGAATCAAAAACAGTACAAAATGGAAGAATTCCTTTGAAATTTTGATGGGTTCTTTCCATTTTCCGCCATAGCCAAAAACCCAACAACCCCACATCAAGAACAACAACAACAACCATCCGCCATTTCTTCCTTTTCAAGCCATTTCTGTCATTTTCTTCTTTACCCTTTTGGTTTATTGGTTCTGATTTCCTCTCTTTGTTTGATGATTTGGGTTGGTTCTTGTTTTGGCGATGGTGGGTCGCTGAGGTAGTGAGCGCGTTTGCCCATTTTCCCCCTCTTTTTGAGCTGCTTCAATGGGGAACTGCTGGTATCGATGGATACCCACGGTTAATAGGGTCTCGTCTAATGCAAAATCAGGTTACACTCTGATATGAACTTATGGATTTTGATACTCTTTTGGTTATGCTCTCTCTTTGATTATGATGATGAAACTCTGTTTTGTTCTTTTGATTATCCATGGTTCTTCTGGTTTTTGTTCTCTCTGTTCTTCATTTACCATGAAAACCATTTGTTCTTAGCAAAATCTCAAGAGATTTGTGAAGAAATCTGCTCGTTTATTTGGTTTGATCTGAAAAAAAGATGTAATGAGAGGAAAAATCTGTTTATCCACTCAGAAAGTGGAGATAATGTTGTGCAACAGTGGGAGTGGACATAGTGGGTTGGTTCTTATCACTGCTTAATGGTTCATAGTCAAATTTCACTTTTATGTTAGAATTTCTTAACCTATTGTCTCTTAATCTTAGTTTCTATTGGCTTTTGCTTTGTAATATCACCTTTTGTTCATTCAAATCATACTTTTTGGTGTTTGGTTTCTGAGAAATGATATCATGTTCTTCAGAGTCTCCAAAAGTTGATATCACATCACCTTATCAAAGGAACAATGAACACAATTTGCCCTCTAACCCGAAAGAAGTAGAAGATTTACGTCGTGACTCGGCCACTAATCCGCTCATTGCATTTACATTCGACGAGCTGAAGTTAATCACCGAAAATTTTCGACAGGACCGTGTGCTGGGCGGAGGCGGGTTCGGAAGTGTTTATAAAGGGTTCATTACTGAGGATTTGAGAGAAGGAATTGTTCCACTTCCAGTGGCTGTTAAGGTTCATGATGGGTTTAATAGCTATCAAGGCCACAGGGAATGGCTGGTAGCTATCTGTTCTTCCTATTTTGTTGCTCATATTTGATTCCATGTGCTATCTCTAATCAAGATAGCTATTGTTTTCTAGGCAGAAGTCATATTTCTGGGGCAGCTTTCTCATCCAAATTTGGTTAAGTTGATCGGATACTGCTGCGAAGATGAGCATCGAGTGCTTATTTACGAGTACATGGCTCGGGGGAGCGTCGAAAACAATTTGTTTTCAAGTAAGCAGCCAAGTAAACTCCGAGTTTTTCTTTGTCGACCCTTTTCGAACACATTGCATATTATCGAACGAACACTTCATGTATCGGTTTCAAACCCTTTTGATGCGTCATAAGAACTCGGTTTTACTATTATAGAATTTTGTACTGTCTGAACTCGTTCTATCTTTCAAAGAATCGTCGTGGTATGCTATGTTGACATTCCATGACTGCAGGAGTGTTGCTTCCTTTGCCTTGGTCCATTAGAATGAAAATTGCCTTTGGTGCTGCAAAAGGACTAGCGTTTCTTCACGACGCAGAAAAGCCTGTTATCTATCGTGATTTTAAGACGTCGAATATTCTGCTTGATTCGGTTCGTTTTGTTCTTGTTTCTCTCTGTTTACCGAAGTTGAAACATATAGATTTTTTGAGTAGTCGTTCACGTGTACATCAATGGTTTGGTTCTGATTGGTTTAGTTCAACGACAGGACTATAATCCGAAGCTTTCGGACTTTGGTCTCGCAAAAGATGGACCAGTGGGCGACAAATCTCACGTCTCTACTCGTATAATGGGAACGTATGGATATGCTGCACCGGAATACATATTGACAGGTACGAGTTCTTGGCCTTTATTTTGTTTTCTGGTCGAATGTTTTGTCGAGTGAGTTACTCCGGTGGCAACGTATTATGCATTTCTCTTTTCTGCTCAGGACACTTGACCCCTCGAAGTGATGTTTATAGCTATGGAGTTGTTCTTCTCGAGCTACTCACGGGAAGGAAGTCACTGGACAAACTACGACCAGCTCGGGAGCAAAACCTTACGGATTGGGCTCTTCCTCTCCTAAAAGAGAAGAAAAAGCTGATGACCATCGTCGATCCGAGACTCGGAGGAGAATATCCCGTCAAAGGATTTCAGAAGGCAGCAATGCTGGCTTACCATTGCCTGAACAAGAACCCGAAAGCAAGGCCGTTGATGCGAGACATCGTCGACTCGTTGGAGCCGTTACAGGAAGTAAGTGATGAGGCAGTAATATCATCTGAAACAACCTCCTTACCTGTTGCCAATGAGACTACTTGACTAAGACAAGACATAGGGAGCTTCAGCTATCTTTAGATGTGGAAGTTTTGTTTTATGATCAAATTATGTTTTTAACTTTTAACCTTGCTTGTAATACAAAATGTATTTGTAAATGTTACATCGCTCGAGCCCCGAGTTCAAACCGCTCTTCCCTCGTTTAACACACCTCGAGCTCAAGTTTGAACCTCTCGAGTTCGAGTCTAAGTCCAAGTTTTGAAGGTTGGGTTTTGCTCGCATGTCTAAGCTTTGCTCTCTTACGTCTTTGCTACTTTGTTCGAAACCTTGCTTTGCTAAGAAGGAGAACATTAATGGACACAACCACCAAGTTAAAGCGTCGGCTTTATCAATGAACATTCCCTGATCGATTTCGCTACAAAAACGTGCAAAGAGGAGCACTGAAGGATACAACCAGTTGGAGATGTCGGGAAATCGTAGTATATCCCTACGAGAGAGGGTGGGCATCTCGATTTCCATTATATCACATAATTTAGTAGATAAAAACATCCGCTCGCATTACAAACGTCGATAATTAAAAGAAAAATATAGAAAATGGGAAAAGGAGGAAAGGTTCTAGAGTGTTCCAAAAGAGGACAATGAAGGAGGGGCTCTTAATGGAGGGAGAAGCCAAATCCAACGGCTAACAATTGGTGGAAAGTTCAGGAGGCTACAAGATTGTTGGGTTCGTTTTGCTCTCATTTTCCTATCCATCCTTTTGGAATTTGCTATAAAGAAACCTACTTCTCTTGTTGCCTCCAAATCCACTTACTGTGTGTATTAACGCAGTTTCGGCTCACTCACAGCGCTCGCCTCTCACCCTCTTATCCAAACCAATCCCTTCTCCCTCTAAACCCTAAAACCCCTTTTCGCCTCCGCCGTTTTCTTGTAAGCTTCCTTATCTCTTTTCATTCTCTTGGATTTTCTTACCCTTTACACGTTAGTTCATGCTTGCATTTCTAGCTGGATTTTGTTTTTGATGTGTCTTGAGCTTTCTGGGTTTCAATTGTTCTTACAGATTTGTGTGCCAATTGTTCAATTCATTTCTGGGTTTTGGATTTCTTCCCCTTTGTTGCATGCATCTTTAGAGCTTGTTTTTGCGTATGCTTGCTGATTCATTTCTATGTTGTTTAATCTTCTAATTTCTTTTGTTGTTCATGTCATTTTGTTTCTGGGTGTTAATCTATCCAATCTTCCCTACATGGGTTTTGGGTTTTCTTCACTCGTGTGTAATTCTGCTGTTCTTTGTTCATACTTGCTGATTTAATTCTGCATTATCTCTGTGATTTTCGTACTTTGTTTGGTTTTTAAATGCTGTTTGAGAATTGTGTGTCAATTTCTGTGTTGATGATTTTGTTTTGTAATTTGTCTACTCGGGCTTTCAACCCTTGCATCTATTTGTTTGCAATTGATGCTATGAAGTTGTTTTGATTTGAACTAGTTAATGATACCGAGTACTTTCTGTTTTCGGTTTCAAATAGGGTAGATGGCTTCTACTTTCACAGCCATGTCTTCCGTTGGTACCCTTGCTGCACCTGGAAGCCGTGTCGTGGATAAAAAGCTTCTATCGTCTTCTGATAAGTTGACTTCTCGCACGTCCATTTCTTCATTTGCGCTCCCGAAAAGACAGAGCGTAGTTCTTAGAAGAAACCGTTCTTCCAAGATCTCTGCCATGGCGAAGGAGTTGCACTTCAACCAGGATGGTTCGGCTATTAAGAAATTACAGGTGAGCTCTAGTTGTTGCTCGTTTGTTCGGTGGTTTTTGTTGTCTTTGAATAGACTTGCAATGAAGCTATTTTAGTTTATATTATTGTTCTTGTAACGTGACGCCTTGTTGTTTCAGAATGGTGTGAACAAACTTGCAGACTTGGTCGGAGTTACTCTTGGTCCTAAAGGAAGAAATGTGGTTCTTGAGAGCAAGTATGGCTCCCCGAAAATTGTCAATGATGGTGTAACCGTTGCAAAAGAGGTATCCAACTCTACATTTAGACTCCATATGAGATCCCACATCGGTTGGGGAGGAGAACGAAGCACTTTTTATAAGGGTGTGGAAACCTCTCCCTAGCAGACACGTTTTAAAAACCTTGAAGAAAGCCCGAGAGGGAAAGCCCCAAAGAGGACAATATCTGCTAGCGGTGGGCTTGAGCTGTTTTAAACATTTTTGTTGCTACCGATTGAAAACTTGACCTCACGGTATTTACTTGTGCTGGCTAGGTTGAGTTGGAGGATCCAGTTGAGAACATTGGTGCTAAGCTAGTCAGACAAGCTGCTGCAAAGACCAACGACTTAGCCGGAGATGGAACGACAACTTCAGTTGTTTTGGCTCAGGGTCTTATTGCTGAAGGTGTCAAGGTATTCAGATTCAAAGTAGTGCTATGTTTAAGCATTCCCTCATGGTTTTTACTAACTCATCTGAACATATTTTAGGTCGTGGCAGCTGGAGCAAACCCTGTTCTTATCACAAGAGGCATTGAAAAAACGGCCAAAGCGCTGGTTTCTGAACTCAAACAAATGTCGAAAGAGGTAAAAGTGCATGGTTTAACGACTCCCGTCATTTGACGGTTGGATGAAATGTTTCTTAACAAGCAATTATATTCGTGAATGGTTAGGTTGAAGACAGCGAATTGGCCGATGTGGCTGCAGTTAGTGCTGGAAATAACTACGAAGTGGGTAACATGATAGCCGAAGCCATGAGCAAGGTAGGACGAAAGGGTGTGGTGACTCTTGAAGAGGGAAGGAGTGCCGATAACAGTCTCTATGTCGTCGAAGGAATGCAGTTTGACAGGGGTTATATCTCTCCTTATTTTGTCACCGATAGCGAGAAAATGGCTGTGGAATTCGATAATTGCAAGGTATACGCGATATTCCATCGAATCATTTCGTGATTGGCCATAAGTCTTCGTGTTTTCATGTCTTCTAACCTTCTGTACTATGTGAACAGCTGCTTCTTGTTGACAAAAAGATCACTAATGCAAGGGATCTTATTAACATACTGGAAGAGGCCATCAGAGGTGGTTATCCCGTTTTGATAATGGCCGAGGATATCGAGCAAGAAGCTCTGGCAACTCTTGTAGTAAACAAACTGAGAGGATCTTTGAAGATCGCTGCACTTAAAGCTCCAGGGTTTGGCGAGCGCAAGAGCCAGTACCTTGACGACATTGCTATTCTTACTGGAGGTCTTCTCTCTTCTTCATTCTTCCCTTAATGAAGGAAGCGTAAGTTATCGATGTTTTTCTGGGTTGTTATTGATTTTCTTTTTCGGGTTATACAGGCACGGTTATCAGAGAGGAGGTCGGGCTTTCCTTAGACAAAGCGGGAAAGGAGGTACTTGGAACTGCATCCAAGGTCGTGCTTACCAAAGATACCACGACAATTGTTGGCGACGGTAGCACCCAAGACGCAGTTTCTAAGCGTGTTGCACAGATTAAAACTCTGATTGAGGTAGACGCAGTGATATTTTTAGTTTATTTTTTTTTGTTTTTGCTCGAAGTTTTTCATGTCATGCTTGAGCCTACTGAACTCGATACTGGTTTTGTTGTAATTATGTAGGCTGCAGACCAGGACTACGAGAAAGAGAAACTTAACGAGAGAATCGCCAAACTTTCTGGTGGTGTAGCAGTTATACAGGTAAATTTAGTTTCCGTAGTGTATCAGCTTGTTCTACGAACTATGCGTCTATACATGTTTGTGACATTTTGCCAATTCATGAAGGTTGGAGCACAAACCGAGACCGAACTCAAGGAAAAGAAACTGAGAGTTGAAGACGCTCTTAACGCTACGAAGGTACTGTTTAATATGCTGCGTCTTTCTAAAATGGCTGTATTAGCTAAGAATCGACAAAGTAATCGCTTCGACCACGGAATGATCATTACTTTTCACGGTTGAATGGATCTGGGTTAATGTCGAAAATTTGAAACGATTTGCAGGCAGCTGTTGAGGAAGGTATTGTTGTTGGCGGTGGTTGCACCCTCCTTAGACTCGCATCGAAGGTCGACGCGATCAAGGAATCCTTTGAAAATGATGAAGAGAAGGTAACCTGTCTAGTGAAATTGTGTTCCATTAGCTAGGCCACAGTATACAATGGGTGGCACTTGATAAGTTTGTCATGTCTGTTCTTTACCATGTACTGTTGGTTCTTTTTAAATGTCTGGTTCGGTGGCAGGTCGGAGCAGACATTGTCAAGAGAGCATTAGCTTATCCCCTCAAGCTGATAGCGAAGAACGCCGGTGTCAACGGTAGCGTTGTTAGCGAGAAGGTATATATGATTACAATGCAACTGTTCGTTCTATCTCTCCGCTGTTCGTCGTTGTGGTTGTACGAAATTGTTGAAGTTTTTGTTTCTTTATCAGGTGTTGTCCAGTGACAACTTTAGATATGGATACAATGCTGCAACTGGGAATTATGAAGACCTTATGGCTGCTGGAATCATCGATCCAACCAAGGTGAGCATCGACCGATCCTTTTCATTGGACACGTTAAAATAGGATAATGTTTGTTTTTCTTGGGTAAAAAAACGAGTCCGAGACCGAGGCTAGCTATAGAAAGGGGACCTCAATCCAACAAAGCAAACTAAGCTCATAGTTGCAACAATGCCTTGTTGTGAGATCCCACGAGCATTCCTTATAAGGGTGTGAAAACCTCTCCCTAGTATACGGGTTTGAAAATCGTGAGGCTGACGCTGATACGTAACAGGTTAAAGCGGACAATATTTGCTAGCAGTGAGCTTGGACTGTTACAAATGGTAACAGAGCCAAACACCGGACAGTCTGCCAACAAAGATGCTGGGCCTCGAAAGGGGGTGAATTGTAAGATCCCACATCGGTTGGAGAGGGGAATGAAACATCCTTATAAGGATGTGAAAACCTCTCCCTAGTAGAAGTGTTTTAAAACCGTGAGGTTGATGACAATGGGCCAAACCAGATAATATTGTTAGTAGTGGGCTTGGGTTGTTACAAATGGTATCAGAGCCAGACACCGGGTGGTGTGGATTGTGAACCTCTCCCTGGTGGAAGTGTTTTAAAACCGTGAGGTTGATGGCGATGGGTCAAAGCAGATAATATCTGTTAGTAGTGGGCTTGGGCTTGGGCTGTTACAAATAGTATCAGAGCGAGACACTGGGGGGTGTGGATTGTGAAAACATCTCCCTAGTGGAAGTATTTTAAAACCGTGAGGTTGATGGTAGATAATATCTGTTAGTAGTGGGTTTGGGCGGTTACAAATGGTATCAGAGCCAGACACTGGGCAGTGTGGCTTGTGAGAGCCGACGTCAGTTGGAGAGGGGAACGGGGCAAAGCGGACAACATTTGTTAGCGGTGGGCTTGGGCGGCTACCGTTTCTCACCTCCCAAACCTCATCGGACTGCATCACGCCTTCAAAAATCTTATTAATAGAGTAGTATGGTGCATGTGTGAAGTGGGGGATGTGTGTTTATGTTTGTTCAGGTGGTTAGATGCTGCTTAGAACACGCAGCTTCAGTGGCGAAGACATTCTTGATGTCGGACTGCGTGGTGGTGGAGATCAAGGAGCCTGAACCAGTTGCTGCCGGCAATCCCATGGACAATTCAGGATATGGGTACTGATGAGAGTAGCAGTCAAAAGAGGAAGAGAGTAATAATGGAGGCAGCTAGCTATGAATGGTGTTAAAAAGAGGCCATTTTTCTTGTTTATTTTTGTAGATTCAGCCATTTCTTTGTCCTAAACAGAGTCCTTAGAAGAAAATATGAAAGCATTCAAAGAACATTAGAATGATGGAGACAGGATCTTCTTTTGTGGAATTTTAATGATTCAGAGCATATTCTTCTTTTAACTTCTCTCTTTCTTTTCTCCCATGTTCAAAACTATCATTTGCTTTTTAAAAATGGTGACTTTTGGTACAACATATATCATTCACCCAAACCCACATTGGTTAAGGAGGGGAACGATGAAACATTTTTTTTTACAAGGGTTCGGAAGCCCATATGCATTTTAAAAACCTGAAACCCCGTTTTAAATGAAAGTCCAAAGAGAGAATATCTACCCGTGGATTTAGGTCGGTTGGTATCAGAGTCAGACCTTATATATAAACTCTTAACAACTTTAACAACTTTATAACCTTATATATAAAGTTGTTAGAGTGGTATTAGAGCGAGGCGAGACCTTGTATATAAAGTTAGAGTTGGTATCAGAGCTAAACCTTATATATAAAGTTGTTAGAGTTGGTATCAGAGCCAGACCTTATATATAAAGTTGTTAGAGTTGGTATCAGAGCCAGACCTTATATATAAAGTTGTTAGAGTTGGTATCAGAGCCAGACCTTATATATAAAGTTGTTAGAGTTGGTATCAGAGCCAGACCTTATATATAAAGTTGTTAGAGTTGGTATCAGAGCCAGACCTTATATATAAAGTTGTTAGAGTTGGTATCAGAGCCAGACCTTATATATAAAGTTGTTAGAGTTGGTATCAGAGCCAGACCTTATATATAAAGTTGTTAGAGTTGGTATCAGAGCCAGACCTTATATATAAAGTTGTTAGAGTTGGTATCAGAGCCAGACCTTATATATAAAGTTGTTAGAGTTGGTATCAGAGCCAGACCTTATATATAAAGTTGTTAGAGTTGGTATCAGAGCCAGACCTTATATATAAAGTTGTTAGAGTTGGTATCAGAGCCAGACCTTATATATAAAGTTGTTAGAGTTGGTATCAGAGCCAGACCTTATATATAAAGTTGTTAGAGTTGGTATCAGAGCCAGACCTTATATATAAAGTTGTTAGAGTTGGTATCAGAGCCAGACCTTATATATAAAGTTGTTAGAGTTGGTATCAGAGCCAGACCTTATATATAAAGTTGTTAGAGTTGGTATCAGAGCCAGACCTTATATATAAAGTTGTTAGAGTTGGTATCAGAGCCAGACCTTATATATAAAGTTGTTAGAGTTGGTATCAGAGCCAGACCTTATATATAAAGTTGTTAGAGTTGGTATCAGAGCCCGACCTTATATATAAAGTTGTTAGAGTTGGTATCAGAGCCCGACCTTATATATAAAGTTGTTAGAGTTGGTATCAGAGCCAGACCTTTTATATAAAGTTGTTAGAGTTGGTATCAAAGCCAGACACTGAGCCAGACCTTTTATATAAAGTTGTTAGAGTTGGTATCAGAGCCAGACCTTTTATATAAAGTTGTTAGAGTTGGTATCAAAGCCCGACACTGAGCCAGACCTTTTATATAAAGTTGTTAGAGTTGGTATCAGAGCCAGACACTGAACCTTATATATATATATAAAGTTGTTAGAGTTGTTATCAGAGCCAGACACTGAACCTTATATATATATATAAAGTTGTTAGAGTTGGTATCACAGCCAGACACTGAACCTTATATATATATATAAAATTGTTAGAGTTGGTATCAGAGCCAGACACTGAACCTTATATATATATATAAAGTTGTTAGAGTTGGTATCAGAGCCAGACACTGAACCTTATATATATATATAAAGTTGTTAGAGTTGGTATCAGAGCCAGACACTGAACCTTATATATATATATATAAAATTGTTAGAGTTGGTATCAGAGCCAGACACTGAACCTTATATATTAAGTTAAACCTTATATATATATAAAGTTGTTAGAGTTGGTATCAGAGCCAGACACTGAATCTTATATATTAAATTAAACTTTATATATATATAAAGTTGTTAGAGTTGGTATCAGAGCCAGACACGGAATCTTATATATTAAGTTAAACCTTATATATATAAAATTGTTACATAACCTTATATATTAAGTTAAACCTTATATATAAAGTTGTTACCGTTGGTATTAGTTGGTATCAGAGCCGGACATTGGACTTTATATATAAAGTTGTTACAGTTGTATCAAAACTTTGGACTTTATATATAAAGTTGTTACAGTTATATCAGAACCAAACACGGGACCTTATATATATAAAGTTGTTACCACACTGGACTTTATATATATAAAATTGTTAGAATTGGTATCAGAGCCATGTAAAGTTGTTACAGTTGGTATAACGGTCAGGCACTGGACGTTATATACAAAGTTATAGGTGGCAAGCAAAGGCGTAACAAAAAAAAAAATTGTAAGACTAAAAATTACATATGAGAAATAAAAATAAAAAAATAAAAAAATAAATAGATTTATTTATTTTAAATTAAAAAAAAAAAAGAAAAAAAAAGTGAGTAGCAGAGCAGAAGAAAAGGTACACGGAATAACCAAACAACCATCAGTTTCGATCGTTGCGAAAAGCGCGTCCCTGTTTTCTCTATTTTTATTTTTATTTTCCATTTTCTTTAACCGTTTCCCATCCTTTTCTCTTTTTTTTTTTTTAAATAAAAATAAAAATATTACAGATTTTATTTTCTTTTTATAAATTTATTTTAAATTAATATATCGGTGTCATTTAAAATTTATATGGTTTAAGGAAACCTCAGACTTCTTAATAAAAAATATATACACTGTCTTTAAAGAATTTGAGCTGGTGATGCCTATGATTTTTTGAGGCTCTAAAACGTTGAACGAGATTATATTATTATGTGATTGGATTAAATGGATATATTATAGGATTGGAAGTAGGTGAATTGAATGCCTAAAGAACAAATAAAACCCAAAAATATATATTAAAGAAAAAAAAAATGGAAAAAGTAAGCATACAGAAAGAGTGAGAAAAAGAGGAAGAATGAATGAAAAACGTAACACTCCAAATCCATGCATGTTACTAAATCGCTAATTTTTCTTTTTTGATTTTGATTTTCTTGTTTAAATTTTTAAACCACTTTTTGATTTTGATTTTGATTTTGATTTTGATTTTGATTTTGATTTTTTTCGGTTCTTGATCTTTCCTGTAATCTCTCTCTCTCTCTCTCTATTTCTGTTTCTATTTCTATATCTCCATCTTCTTCTTCGTCTTCTTCTTCACGCCGCCTCTCTTTCTCACCTTACCTACACCGCTCTGCCACTCTTCTTTTGCATTGTTCTTTGTTGTATCATAAACCCAATTCCCCACATTCTCTTCTTCTCACTCAAACGTACTGTTCTTCATTCATTTTCTTGTATATTGTCGTTTCTTCCATTGATTCCTCGTTTTTCTCACGCGGGCGTCGTTTTCTTTTCATATCATCAACTGGGTTAGTCTCGATCCTCTGTTTTTCATTTTCTTTTTCATCATCCGGCGTTGGAAATCCGTGTGATTCTTGGATTTTGTTTGCTTATGTTTGTGTAATCTTTTATGAACCTTGTTTTTGGGGGATTTCTTGTGTTGGGTTCTTGGATTTAGCCTTTCTTTTGATGATTTATTCTCGAGCTTGAAATCTAATGATGTTGTTGATCGATATTTTGTATAATCGTGTTCTTGGGTTTGAATGTTTCGTTTATAGAATGGCTTGTTTACGGCGAAATCGTCTCAATGATGAGATTGTTCTTGATGGGTTTGTCATTGTTGATTGAAGGGTGTTGCCATATAGTTCTTGTTGGTTTCTTTTTTGTAGAATTTAAGGTTTAGAATGGCTTGTTTCTATTTGTGTTCTTCATCTAAGGCTTGTTAGTGTTCTGATATAGGTCATTTAAGGCTTACAAAATAGAAAAATGGGCAGTAAACTGAAGCTTGAACTTGAGAAGCTTTTCAGTGAGGATCTGATAGTTGCTTGTGACAATGAACATGCTGAAGAATCTGTTCATAAAGGAATGTCTTCAATGGTTTCAGATTCTTGTAATGGGTTGTCCTTGGATGAACTCCACAAAAATGGGAGTTTGGAGAATGGAAAGGTCTCGATCGGTCAATTTGGAGACCGATCGTTGACATCTGCAGTCGAGAAACTAAGTTTGGGCGGGGAGGGGACAGGGAAGACTTGGATGAATCACCCCAATTTGATGGATGATCAATTTGAAAGCTATTTGAATAAACAATCACTCAAAACTGAACCATCAATGGTGAGTGATCCCCCTTTGAGACCTTCACATTGTGTGAACAATGGCTATTATGAGATTCGTATGCCGGGTCTTCCCCCTCAGATCTCGGTCGAAGCGAGACCTGTTTCTGATGTCCACAAGAATGGGGAGGCGGGTCACGTTCCGCCATTGAAGACTCCTTCTGCTATGCCATTCACTCATCATGAACAAATGTTGCACAGTGGGTTATCCCCAATTCATTTTATGCGCCCACAACAAATGAATCATGGTGAAATAGGTTCAAATTGTACAAAAGAACAGCAGCTCCTAAGCTGCAGGATGCAAGGACAGCACCAATACCTGTATGATCTTCATAATCAGCAACGGGAATATTCGAATCTACTTGAATCTTGTGGTAAACCATTTGGGTCGTTGCGGTTTCGGAGTCCGAATCAGGAATGTTTTATTGAGGTTCCATTTTCTCCCTATCTTGGGCAGTTTAAACATGAAGGATTCTGCAATAGGACTGCACATTATGCGGGTTCGGGCGTACCAAATCTTGTATTTACAAAACCGAACGTAGATACGTTAGATTCCCAGGAAAAGAGTTTCAATCAATGTTCTCTTAGGAAGGTCCCCATGAGGACACATGGACCGATCGGAGTTGATTGTATGAAGGCTCCAATCGGAGTTGATGCTGAGAAACTTAAGTATTATATCAGCAATGGATTTGGTTGTCCAAGTTGTATTGTTAGGCAGAATGGTTTACCTTCAACAACTAAAGATTGCATCTGTCATGACAACTTAAGGGCATCTTCTACGTTATCGAGTTACGAAAATCATCCGATAGAGATACCGCCTTCAAAATGTAACTCTCTTGACGAAGCCACGGGTAAAATATATCTCATGGCTAAAGATCAACATGGTTGTCGCTTCTTACAACGGATGTTCACTGAGGGTACTAAAGAAGATATCGAGATGATTTTCGGTGAGATCATTCATCATGTTTCTGAGCTCATGATAGACCCTTTTGGAAACTATTTGATACAGAAACTCCTTGGAGTTTGTGACGAGGATCAACGCCTTCAAATTCTTTATAAGATTAACCGACCCGGTGAACTGATTCGAATCTCGTGTAATATGCATGGGTATGCTCTATCTCTGTCTGTCTTTGATCGAGTTCTCTTCTTTAATATTCATGTTTCCAAACTACAGGACTCGTGCCGTTCAGAAGCTCATCGAGACTCTCAAAACGCCGGAGCAGTTTTCCATGGTTGTCTCTTTATTGAAGACTGGTATAGTGATACTCATGAAGAATGTTAATGGTAACCATGTAGCACAGCATTGCCTGCAGTATTTGATGCCTGATTATATTGGTGTAAGATTTGTTTCTTGAAACTTTGCTCTCAATTTAGCTTGCCATCTTGCAATAAAATGGATTCTTCTGCAGTTTCTTTTTGATGCTGCAATAAAATCTTGTGTCGAGGTTGCAACCGATCGCCACGGTTGTTGCGTGCTTCAAAAGTGCCTTTCTGTTTCTGATGCTCGATACCGAGACCGTTTGCTAAGCGAGGTCGTACGTAATGCTTTGGTCCTTTCCCAAGATCAGTACGGGTAATTTACTTTTGTTCTCTGCACTCTACATTGTCGATAAGTGCTCGACTTTACGTTGCAATGATGCAGGAACTATGTCGTGCAATTCTCCCTCGAGCTTGGGCGCTGTCCTACGAGCATTCCTTGGGTGACGCCTGGTATCTTCAAACGACTAGAGGGCCATTTTGCAGACTTGTCTATCCAGAAATATAGCAGTAATGTTGTTGAAAAATGTGCTTATACTGGAGAAGATTATCTCTTTAAGATTATCGACGAGTTGATCAACGACGAACGATTCAGTCAAATTATGCTGAACCCATATGGAAACTATGCAGTTCAAGCTGTTCTTGCTCGTTCTTGGAATTTCAAAGTGAGTATCACTCCCCCTTTGGCTCCTATGAAGTTAGTACTCACTGGTTGTTGAACTGTTTGATTTATACAATCTCTACTGCATTGAACTATGAACAGAGTCCTGTTCATGCTAAACTTGTGGCTGCTATCAGACCGCACGTCCCGTTGCTCAGGACGAACATGTATGGGAAGAAAGTCCTCGCCGTGCTAACAAAAGCGAGCTAAGCGGCTGCTGCTATCATCGACGAAGATCGCCTGCCTTCTAACCTGCATTTCTTGTTGTTTGTTAAAAGGACATGACTAGTTTTGTCTTTCTCTTTTATCTTTTGTTTGTCAAGGGAGCTTAGGCCATTAACCATGGCTGCAACTGTGCAACATGGTTCGTCTCCATATCTCGAAAGAAAACCAATCGGAGTTGAAGACGATCATCCATCTCAATCCGTTCCAACAAATGGTAACATGTCTGTATTTTCCTTTGTAGATTCGCTGTTGTACTGGCGACCGAGATGACGATGGTAAGCTTCGGCTCTTTTCGGGGGTAATGTATAGACCGCAAAATATGATTGAAATCATCGGGTCTGTGGAGGAGGAGTCATCTGCTACTACTCGTCTTTGTTCGAGAGCGTTTTTTGCTTTCTAGTTCAATAAATGTGTAGTTGGAGAATTGAACCATCAATCTTTATCTACTTAACTAGCTCGATTGAGTTGATTAGAGAGATCGTGATTTGTTCTTCTCCTCGTATATGCATGAAAACGAAAATAAAGTCTATGTTTCCTATAAAGGGCAGAGAAAAAGGAGGAGATTAGAGGTAGTAATGATGGTGTTGGAGGGCAAAATGGTAACTTTAATGGAGTGTGTTTGCAGCCATTAGAAACCAAGAACACTCTGTCTGAGAAATAATTGGCTAATTTGTTGTTTGCTTTAATAATGAACAAGAAAGGTGAAGTTGGAGGTCTAAGCGACGTCGTTTTTTTTAGCTTTGTCAGTGTAGGAATACGACATGTCGGAAAAGGGAATTAAAAAAATAACAATAACTGAGCAAAAAATAAAATAGAATAATAATAATAATAAAACGAAGAATGTGAAACAAAGATCATTTTTGAAAGATGCGAAAAATGTGTTATTTATTTATTTATTTATTTTTATATAAAAAAGAATTTAAAAGATTATTTCGTTGGCCCATTTTAGTAAATAAAATATTTTGGGTATTTGAGTCTACATAATAAATTGAAAATTTCATCATCTATTATTTTTAAAAAGAACGATGTCGAGAAAGACTCACACCCAAATTTCATAGCTATGGGTCTGTTATCCCGATCATGATTTTCTTACCCTTAGAAGGAAAAGTCCTTTCCCTTTTTTGGGGGTGTGGGTGAACAGGGATTTGAACCCCTGACACTGGGTTCGTAGCCACATGCTCTAATCCTCTGAGCTATAGGCCCCACTCCGTCTCTCCGCTTTCTTTTGCTTTCAAGACTCAAGAAATAAAAAAAGATGGTTCACCACACCTAATTTCACTGAAAATGAAGATTTAGTCACCCACCCACCCTATTTACTATTCAAACATGGTAAACGAAGAAAATAACAAATATAATAATAAATAATAATAATTTAAAGTAAAAATATATATATATATATATATAAAATGTGGAACAAGACAGCGGGAATATAATCTCTCCCTCATCGACATCTTTAAATATTTTGCCATAAAATAACAGATATACTGACTTAACTAGAAATTTACCATTTAAAGCATCATGACAACAAAATAACTCCAATTTCATCAACAAATTTCCATACTAGCATTCAAAAAGATCCTAAATCAAATTATTATCGAGTAATATAGCAAATTCTCAATTTGAAAAAAAAAAAAAAAAATTGAGAAATGGACATTCAAACAAACTATATTATAAAACAAAAAAGTACAAATATATATTGTTATAAAGTTTGGTCAAACATTAGAATAATATGAAATCTTTGTTCATATAAAATATTTGAAAAAGACATTATTTTAAGGAAAGGTAGAGAGAGAAATTAAAAATAAATAAAGAATTTGTTTTGATTTTGATATCTCCAACAATTCCCCCAAAACAAACAAAACCCATCAGTGTAAGCCTCACACACACACAGAGTGAAAGAAGAAAAAAAAAAAAAAAAAAAAAA